AAAAAAAAAAAAAAAAAAAAAAAAAAGAGCTGCAAAGTGATGCCGTGCTGGTGCTAGAAGTTGCTTGGCGACAGCAGGGAGAACCCACAGCCATGGACACCGTACTGGGCTGGCTCTAGCCATTAATGACAGTCACAGTCATTCTTTGTGGCTGTAACCGTGTCCGGCATAAACGGGGCACAATGTGCGTTGTCGTGTGGGGTGGTGTCTTGGCTACCGGTCTTCACCCGAATAGAACGCCCGGTCATTATGTCTGTATGGGGCAACTTTCAGTCCAGATGCAGCAAATAAAGACTGGCCATTCTATTCAGGTGAAGACCGGAATGCTAAACCTCGATACGGAGCCAAGAGATCGGGGCATTTGGGCGCCATCGGTCTCACATCTGGAGCTTTGTGTCCTCTGCCGTTTCAGGGAAGTGGCAACAGTATGTGTGTGACGATTGCGTGTTTACGCACCACACTTAGGATGTTGTGGCACTTGTCCAGTTGATATAGCTCAGTGGGTAGAGCACCGGTTGGAAATGCGCATTGTGGTATAAGGTTGCGGGTTCAGGTCCGCAGCCTTGCGCATGGACACCGGCAGGGCATTAGAATGAGGCACGGCTGGACACACACCCCCTTGGGCTGACGCATGGTAGGCTATTACAGACACTGCCTGCGCACCACCCAAGGGTTGTCCACGGTGTTGTATGTCGGGTCTTGATACTGTGTGGGTTGCTTGTCGCTGTTGCTTGTGGTTGTTCTGTTGATCTCCCCAGTCTGGCATATCACACACAGGTGCCGTTTGCGATTGTTGCTCAAATGGTAGAGTCTTCAGGTCACATGTCATAGATTATGGGCTCGAGTCTGGCTTGGGACTTTGGGATCTTCGGGCACATACATCTCACTATACACTTACACAGAGCACACATAGCCTTCGGGAAGACACAAACATGGCTCGTGAACATATATACACATAGCCTACAGGCTCATACAAACATACATAGCCTCTGGGCACACATATATACACACAACTATGATACCAGGCTGGGGAGTTCTATCAGGTATATGACGGGGTCTACTCAGGCATGGCTTAGCTCTAGGGTAGGGTAGGGATATAAGTCGCTCCAGCTAGTCTGAGTTCCACCTAGCCTTGGGTAAGTTAGGGGAAGGACGGTGGGATGTGTCCCTGGGCGCTGGCTTGCCTTGCTTAGGTACTCCTGCTGGGTAGACTCTCTGAATTGGGCCTGTAGAAGATTGCATGAGCCTGGCGTCTGAAGTTCCCGTACGGCAAGGTTCGTCCGTTTCCGCTTCCGCTTCCGCTAGGGCTGGGGGGTTGGCCCAGCCTTGGTCCTTGTCGCTGCTGTCTGGTCCAAGTTGCCCTCGATATTGGTAGGGTGATCGTCCTGAGTGCTGGTCACACTGAGGTAGGATAGTAGGGACAGGGGGTGCGCTGGGAGTATTAACGTGGGGATGGGTAGGGTAGGTGGACTATCCTGTCAGAACAACCATTGGCTGCCGCTGCCAGCAATCACCGCGGGTCTGGTCCTTGGCCTCTACAACACCCTGGGCTTAAAAAAAAAAAAAAAAAAAAGGATGTTGTGGCACTTTCTGCCTTGTGGGTTCGAGTCCTGCTAGCCGTACACTAGAAACCAAGAGCATGACATATCGTACAAACGATTTGTCGGGCAGTGCGAGGGGAACCAATCAGAACAGGGGAGTTACCTTTGTGAAGATCATCAACGAAAAACTCTGCCATAGTTTGTGTCAAGAGACCCATGATTCGCATTCTGTTGCTGTTGGGCACGACATTCAGCAGCATCGTTGCTTCTCACCGTGCGAAATCGGTGGTGTGTGGCTCGGAGAAACAACTGCCATTTCGTCAAAATGGACGTTTTTTTGTTTTTTGAACGAAATTGAAACCAACTTTTTTGGTCAAAAACTCCGGCGTTCTTAAGACGTTGGACCCCCTGGATATATGTGGACTTAAGTTGAGACCAGATACATCCAGGGGGCCCGGTGTTCCAAGAACGCCGGACCCTCAGGAGCAGCAAATTTGGACAAGTTTTCAGCCCAAAAACTCGCTTTGAAAGGCATTTCACGATGCAGACCCCAAATTCGAATTTCAGGATCGAAGTCTCAGGCCAAGTCGGTCAGCTTCAGAGAAGTCATAGTCGGGTACCTTAGGAGTCAAGTCCAACAGGCACCCGGTGAACAAGTCACATCCCAGGGGCAAAGGTTGCCTTCTATAAGCAAAAGTCACGTACCCCCCCATGACAACCTAAGGGGTCGGGTATAGTCTAGGTAGTGAGAACACCTCAGCTATGGATAGTACTACCGTCTTCCCCCGAACACAACGCACCCACATTTTTATTGTATGGCCGGAAACATATCTTCTATACGTTCATTTTCAGGGTGCGTTATGTTCGGGGGAAGACGGTAGTTGGGATGATATTGACTTTTGAGTGTTGTGTTTGGTATAGGGGGGAAGACTAGGAGTTGCTCATAGATTGTGAGGCCAGGTTTTGCTGCTGTAGTTTATATCTTACCATAGATTAAAACAAAAAAAAAAAATCAGTAGCATCATCATCAGTAGTATCATTATCTCGCAGTTTTTATAGAATCAGCAGAAGTTCATCATCATCATCATCATATGAGGGACGCTGAGCCCGGTTCTTTGGGGTGGGCATTCCATGGGACAACCAAGGATTGCTGCTGGGACGACGCTGGTCGGAGCTGGGGTGAGTTGTGTTGCCCTGTAACCCAGCAGGATGTGGGGGTGTGAGGCCTGGAAGAGCTCAGCAGGAGTAAGACAGTGTTGGAGAACTTTGGAAGGGTCTGTTAGGGATTTCGAGGGTTTTGGAACATTTGTAGGACCTCTGCGGTCTATTCCCATGCCTCCTGAATTACCGCAAGTGTTCTCAGACATTTTCAAAAAAGGGATCCAGGTGAGTGGGAGAAAGAGATGGTGGGACATCGCGCGTCCTACTAGTGAGGGGGCTAGCTGGTAGGATAGGAATAGGGTATAGCAGCAGCAGAGATGGTGGCTCTGCTGCAGTAAGTCTTGCCGGAGTGGGGTACAGGGGATTGATTGGCGGTGTTTGGGTCCCTTTCTGAATTGTGCACATCCTTTTGTTTCAAAAAAAGGGTGGGTGGGGTCTTCAAAAAAAGATGGTGGGATATCAAGTGTCTAGTAACTAGCGAGGGGGCTAGCTGGTAGGATGGAAATAGGGTTCAGCAGCAGCGGAGATGGTGGCTCTGTTGCAGTAAGGCTTGCCGGAGTGAGGTAAAGAGGGCGGAGGGGGGGGTTCTGAGTCGTTTTCTGAATTTTTGCCTATTTCTGAAGTTTGTAGTAGTAATTTCCTAAGGAGCCCCAATTTTTTCTTAGCCAAAGCCGGGTAATGGCCCCAGTATCTCAACTTTCAAAATTCTATGTAAATTTCCATATGGGACGATGGGCCCGGTTCCCAGCACGTGCTGCTCCCCACAAATAGATTGGAGCCTTGTTCCCAAAAA